TGGAGAGTTTTGCGGCAGCGCATCCTACAATTCGTGCTTGGCTTTCTTCGGCCGCCACATCTCATCCTTCCACTCTCAAATCGCAAAAGGCGAGCGTAGTGTTCTTCCACCTCCAATTCTTTCGCCACATGCGATATAAGCTTTCAGCGGATCGAGGAATTCCAGTCACCTCCGGCCTTCAAACACTCGCCCAAACCCCTACCTGTGGCCCAAAACCTACCTTTTAAAAAACTCTATATATATATATATATATATATATATATATATATACATATAAACATAAATATATATATATATATAGAGAGAGAGAGAGAGAAACCAAAATAAGGAACCCTAAAAAGGGAGGTCTTTTCGGCCACAGGTAAGCCTCTACAGTACCATCTCCTGGTATGCGCACCGCAAGCAAAACCCAAAACGAACCCAAAAAACCTTCAGAAACCCTAAACCCAAACCCTGAACCCTGAACCTGCGAAACTCGCATACATGGGCGGGCATTTAGAGTAACTAGGGCTATGACTAGGGTAACTATACTTATAACCCCAATTAAGGTACTTATAACCTTACTTGCTAAGTCCCATGATCCTCCAAGTAAACCCAGAAACTCGAAACCAAAACCCCATGCACCTGCTTCTCCTCGATCGCCTTGGCGAAGTCCTCACCCAACAGGTGCCATGAGGAGAGCTCACGCAGACTGAATCTGCGATTATAGGAGGCTCGGCTTTGACGGTTCAGGGTTACCGGATGAGATGCTCTTGCGGGTGGTACAGGGTGCTCTAACATTGCTTATAGGGTGTTCTTCCGTTTCAAGGCATGTGGTTCGGGGCCTTTCATCAGCTTCGAGTTGTTGTCCTACATGCAATTACATATCCCACCGTAAAGAAGTACATGTTCATGACTGTCGGGGTTTTGGGTTTTAGGATTCAGAGCTTACGGTTTCGGCTTCAGATTGCAGACTTGGCTGGTCGTCGCGCCATTCGCATGCATGGTAATGGTTCTTATCTCTGCTGCTACTGCCTCTGAGCTGCGCTTCCTAGTATGTCAAAAACAAAGCACGCGTGAACTCCAGCAATGCCATAGCTGGCATCAATATCGAATCAACGGCAGTATGGAGCCCGGTAGTATCGCAAGCATACGATGCAGAACTACCATTGCCCCGATATTGTCTTACTTGGAGGCCTTGTACGTAAAGTGAAATGAACGCCTACTCAGCAGCAAGCATTCCAGTGGCAGCACTCACTCCAGTTAAACAGTAGCTAAAAATGAAACAGATGGGTTTTGCCAAACCCAGTCCGGGAAATGTGCCTGGACACCCAACTTCGTCGGCATCATCGAAGAAGTGCAGGGAACTTCGGAAATCTCAAATTCTGTACAACCAAAAACCTTGCATTCCCATACACTCCAGAAGCCCATTATCCCTGGGACCCTAAAGCCCGACACCCCCAGACTTTAAATGAACCCGAAACCCTACCTCCCGCAACTAACACCCTGAACCCTCCAGTCCTTACCATAGACGAGGTGGGTAATGGCAACGTCTTCCTGCAGCTGGGCTCTTGTTAAGGCATTTCATTGAGGTTACCATAAAAGGGATCTGAAGCAAACAATGCTCCGTTATTATGTATGGCAACATAAACGAAGTTCCTTAAAACAAAAACCCAGGCAAAGCTGACTTCTGGGCTTTCTGTGTTGAACCTGCAGCTTGGTAGCTCGAGTTCGGCCTCCTTAAATCCTAAAGCCTTGACCCCAAAACCCTTAAAAAAGCCTGTGTAAACCCGAAACCCTAAGTTCTTGTAAACCCGAAACCCTAAGTTCGTGTAAACCCGAAACCCTAAGTTCTGACCAGGACTTTCGGTTTGAGATTTCTGGGTTGTTCAACGTCAATGTATGTGATTTCGGAGGAGTTGGTCGCAGGCAGGATCAGACCCTGTCAGGGAGACAGTAAACCCTAAATTCTTAACCGGCAAGCTCTGTCTGAGAGAACCCTCCAGCATTGACACTTCGGCTTGCATCAACCCGCAGCCTGAAACATCCAGCGACCTCGAAATTCCCCGAATCTGGGCATCCCTAAACCCGCAGCGTGGGTTAAGGATTCAGGATTGATGTCCGATGATTTTGGCGTCTTGCAGTGCTTGCAGTCGTCATCGTGGTCTGATAAGTGGGACTCTCCAGAGTAGCATTTGCGAAGGACGCGGCTCGAGCTCGATGGATTGATGATGATGAGAAGCGAAACCTCATTCATAACTCCTGCAAGCACACATGCAAACCCTTGTCCCTGATAAAAACCCTACAAAAACTTGTGCAAACTCTACGAAACCTTTGCAAAACTCACAAAAAGTCCCCATACCAGACTAAACCCTAAACCCTAAACCCTAAACCCTAAACCCTTAACAGAGACTCGGGCCATGATGATGTTGAACTGGCTAGCTCTCTGGACGATCGCCTGGATCCGGGGCCGGCAGCTGAACTGTAAAAAGATTTGGAGGGGAGGAAAGAGGCGGCTGCGTAGTAAAGGGAACTCCAGAAAGTTGGAATATGGTTTCAGGGTAGGATACCTTATAATTTACCATAGAAGGGTTAGGATAATCATATTCCAAATTTCTGACTTTTACTGTATGATGTAAGGATTGTTCCGTACTTGTGGGCCTTAAGAATCAGAATGGAGTGGTGCAGGAAAGTAGTATTTCTCCATGCGGTTGTGCGAGGGTTTTGTTCTGAACAAAACTTCCTTCCGGGATTGTAAAACATCGTGATGTACGCAGCATATTCCATTCAAACGACAAAGCCGAGCAACAGGAGACACACCCACTCATCCCAAGACTGCAGATCCAATCCTTCGAATCAGGAGTTTCGCAGATTCCCCTAAACCCTTAACCCCAAACCCAATTCTGCCGGAGAGTACTTAGTCGACTTAGTCATCTCCCTCGAACTTGAGATCTGGATGAACATCTCAACGCGCGATTCTATGACGAATCCCAAAAGAAAGGAAGCCATTCTTCAGCACGCTCGTCTTGGCCATGACCCAAGCCCTGATCCCAAATCCCTAATCTCCACACCCTTCTGGAAACCCTAAACTCTAGGCCTTGAAACCTGGAGACTACGCCAAGCCCTAAACCCTGAACCCTGGCTGAAACCCTCAAGCCTAAGCCCGAGGCTAGATGCCTTCCCTGAAGCCTTCATACATACGAAGTAACCCCAGTCTGTTTGATCAAAACCCCAATACTATACTATCCTTATAAGCAACCCTTGTAGTAACATTTGTATAAGGCAACCCATTATGGCCCCTACCCAGACCCCCAGGAGGATCTTCGGGCCCTCTGGTACTAATGGTACTTTGTAGGAACCCCCATTAAGGGATCTACTTTTTGGATCCTCCCGGAGTCTGGGTACGTGACGTCGACTGAGGGATCTCCGACAGCCCTGCGCGCCTCGCGGATCTCTAGGGACACCTGCGGCAAAGCTGCAGGTCCACACTCGGGGGTTCAAGGGTTTAGGGCTTTAAGTGGGTTTAGGGGTTGAGGGGTGCAGGGCTTTAGGGGTTGAATTTGGCCTCCGGAGTTATATACGGAATAAACCCTACACCCTAAACCCTCTAACAGCCCACACCCTCAACGGCAAAAGGCAAGGCCTTGCACAAAAACCTGAACTCAACCGCAAACCCTACCAACCGTCTCCATCGTGCTGCCCTTTTCGTGGATACCTCGCTTGAAAGTATAGGGTCCTCAACACAAACTGTACCTTTGGTGAACCAAAACAGAACTAGATTGGAAACTTTAGATAAACCCTATATAGCCTAAGATAGAAAACGACCATGCACTCACCTTTGCAACATCCAACAGACCTGCAGGCTACAACACCCGAAACCGGTTTGGGGTTTAGGGCTTAAGTCCACATCCCCAACAGACTCTGACCACAATGGGCCTTTTGGGCTCACTAGGTCTACTATAATATAAAATATTTGGGCCCATAGGAGTCTCAGAACATGTTGGGCCCAATGGAGATCCCAAATTCTGGGGGCCAAGGTGCATGGTTTAGGGCCAGGTGTTTAGTCTAGGGCTCGGGATTTGCGGACTAGGGCTTGGCGACAAATTGAGGTGTATCCATACGCTGTTCACTACTCAGTACCTCGATCTTACGACTATGCTCCCTAGCCACATTCTGCAATCTGGCATCAACAACCCCGCCGTGAACACTAAACCCCTAAACCCTAAACACCCTCAACCCCAATAACCACCAGACCGTGAGTACCTTTTCGAGAAAATGTAGGGCCTCAGCAATTACCAATACGATTTCGGTGGGATGAATATAGCGTGATATACCCCAAAGCTGTATTCCAACTAGTGAGGCCCCCACCCTCTACCCCTAACCCCCTGAACCCTAGGCCCTAAACCCTGAACCAGATCGTGAGCACCTTTTTGAAACGTAGCCTGATGGGTCAGGCCAACCACATCACGACCGCCCCGCGGCACTTCTTATGCACGCGGAGCTGGGCTCGAATGGTACAGCAGCTGCTGCCGGCTTCGGGGTCAGAGTTCAGGGGTTAAGGGTTTAGGGTTTGGGGTTTGGGGTTTAGGGGTTTAGGGTTTAGGGGTTTTGGAGCAAAAGCTTCTATGGTTAGTTTAGATTGGGCTGTGGCATTCAGGACTCAGAGGGTTTGCCCGAAAAACATCCCAGCTTCAAAACCCCTGAGACCAGAAACCGCTGAACTGATAGGTCGGTGTCTTGGGGCCTCTCCTGGCATCCGCTTCAGGGGCCTCTATGATTAGAGTTGGGTTTCGGGGTATATCAGGGTACAAATATCGTGAGGAACCCTGAGGAATAGTACCAATACTCATTACTTCAACCCCTACATGATACTTCCGGTACTTAAAGGATCATGGGACTTTGTAACTAGGGTTACAATTAGGGGTAGCTATACTTTTTAGCCCAATTAAGGTACTTATAACCCCAATTAAGGTACTTATAACCTTACTTACTAAGTCCCATGATCCTTTGAGTACTGCTGCTTAGTTTTCAGCAGTGGGCTCTGATTGAGCCCTTGTGCGAGGCTCTGATGCGGTGGCGCCGTCTGCCGGCGCGGAGCAACGGGGACGCGGCCGGCCCGTCCTCAAGAAACGAAATCGAAAAATAACCATCCGAAACCCTAGACCCCAAACCCCTAAAAACCTCTAAATCCCAAACTTTAGGCTTTAGGGCTTTGGGTCTAAGGTTTAGGGGCTTTGAGGCATTAGGGCTTTAGAGCTTTTTGGCTTTAGGCTGTCCAGCACAGCTTCAGGACTTTCGAGTTTGTGGGCTTCTGCTTCAGGATGTTTCGGGCTCTTGGGACGAGCGGCTCTCTATCGTGGAAGAGGCAACCCTAAACCCTAAACCCCTAAACCCTAAACCCTAACATTCACCTGTAAACCCTGAACCGGAAACCTCCAGTCTCAAATTTCGATTTCCCAACTCATAGGGGTTTGGGAGTTTCCGAAAACAGGGGACCCAAAGACAGTACCCTAAATAGTAGGATCCTTATAATAAGAACCCTCGAATAATGTACCCCGAATTTTCGGAAACTCCCATTTGATTTCAGGAGTTAGGCTTTAAGTGGAGGTTTCCCGGTCCAGAAAGGTACAACCTGTAAACTTGTAAATACCGGTAGGATTGCACAGACCGAGACAGGTGAGAGGTTACTTAATCAGCTAGTGAGTGAGCTGAAAACTGTACAAAGGTTTAGGGTTTAGGGTTGGCCCTAAAACTCCAAAACTTGAAACCCTCGAGGCCGTCGATGCTAAACGCCTAGAGGCTAGCTACTGAATTCCCTTAAGCACCATGTAAAAACCCTAGGAAACAAAAACACACGCCAAGAAAGCCTAAACTCTAAACCCTATAAACCTACAAACCTTACCCCCTAAACACAGATATCCTCAAAATACCGGGTCTCCCGTCCTCGCAGGCTTCGGCGAAGACGGCAACGGCGGACGTCCGCCGAAGCCACCGACGAGGAGCCTAATATAATATTCTACTGAGATGAAGGACTATGACGTAATGAAGGTTTCGGAGTTGGAGTTTAGGACTTAGGGTGTTGAGAGTTCTAATGCTTGGCTCACAGTATCGGGCTCGTTCTCGTGACTTTGCGGGGCGTTCAGGCTGGTTTCGGTACCCCAAGCCTAGAACCCAACATGCAAAAACCACTACAATAGGAAGGCTAAATGGGTGGTTGTCAAAATAGGGGTCCCTTTTTGGGTATCCTAAATACTAGGTGCCGTATTATAAAAAGGACCCCAAAAAGGGATCCTAATTTTGACAACCCCCCAAATCCAGCCCCTGGAGCCCTGGATATCCTGAACACCACGGGGAGGATCATGGGATTTAGCAAGTGCGGTCATAAATAAGGCAACTTCTCTTCTCAGTACTTATAACCCCAATTAAAGAAAAGGGTTTGGGGGCCGATTATACTATACTTATAATAAGGAACCCCCAAAATGGTATTGGTATTTTTGAGGTCCCTATACTAACCCTACTTAGTGCAAGTCCCATGATCCTGCAAGCATGACCCCGGGATCGGCCGAAGCGGCTTGTCCAAGGCTCCAGGAAGAGCCGAAATGAGAGCAGCCTGCAGAAAATGCCCTTCTTTGGATCTGGGCTATACTTGGAGGATCATGGGACTTAGTAAGCAAGGTTATAAGTACCTTAATTGGGGTTATAGGTAGGTATAAGTGAAGTTACCCTAATTAAAACCCTGGTTACTGAGCCCCATGAGCCTCTAAGTAGGTTTAAGGCTGAGCCCTTGAGACCGATCCTCGGATTCAAGGTGTTTCAAGTTAGGGTTCCAAGTTTTAGGGTTTCTTTTTTTGAGGACCTTTCTCCAGTGCATGGAGAGCCTCAAGTTTTTAGGGTTTAGAGTTTAGGGTATAGGGTTTAGGCTTAGGCTCTAAACCACACCCACTCGAAGCAACCACTCTTGATTCTTAGGGCTTGCCGATGCTTACGGCCATTTCTATTCTTTGACCTGTTTGCGTTTCGTAGCACTGGTCATGAGACTTGTCAGCCGAGTTTCATAAACCACCCCACACACGCACAACACACGCACATGCACACATTCACACACACCCGCAGGCAGCAACATCAAAACTGTTGGGCCACGTCAGCATGCTGAGGGCTGGGACCGTGGAAAACGCACGATAACGGAGTTAAGGGCTTAGGCCTTGAAATTTTGGGCTTAGTTAAGGTTCAGGTCCTAGTGAGTTTAGTGGCCTGTTCTACCATGAGGCCGAACTGCAGAAGCGCCTTGTTCTGAGTATGATGGGAGGCTGAATAGGAATATAGCACTCCTGAGGCCTCCTTCACAAGATTGCACTACTTAACGGGTCATGGGACTTAGTAACTAGGGTTATAATTAGGGTAACTATACATATAACCCCAATTAAGGTACTTGTAACCTTATTTACTAAGTCCCATGATTCTCCAAAAGCATTCTGTTTGTTTAAGCCCTTATGCTGCAACCTGATAACGTCCATTATAGCAACTTTCGTCGCCCTCGGCAACCCTTCAAGGAATTCTAAATCCCAGAAACAGAGACTTCTCGATCAAAGGACCCGTACACCCCAAAGTCGAAGCCCCTAACCCCTAAACCCTAAACCCTAAACCCCTAAACCCTAAACCCCTAAACCCTAAACCCCTAAACCCTAAACCCCTAAACCCTAAACCGACAAAGAAACTGTCGAGAGAGCCTCGAGGTTTCCCGTGGTGAGGCCTTTGACCAAGGAGGCGGTTGCGGCCTCCTCGACGGTTCAGGGTTTAGGGTTTAGGGTTTTGTCTGTTTTAAGGGCTTAGGGTTTAGGGTTTTGTTTGTTTTAAGGGTTTAGGCTTTAGGGTTTTCTTTGTTTTAAGGGTTTAGGGTTTAGGGTTTTCTTTGTTTTCAGGGTTTAGGGTTTCGTGTTTAGTGTGTAGGGTTTAGGGAGGGATTCGAAGGAACCAGGATCTGGGATTTCAGGTGTTGGGGTTTGGGGATGTTTAGACTTTTTGATTTTTGGTGTAGGGCTCCAAGGTTTGAATTAGAGCGTAGTTCTTGGGGCTACAAAGGTTGTGTTTTCATACGGTTTCACCACGACTCATGTCTACATCTACGCAGGGGCTTTACAGCGGACTGTTGCGGGTTGCCGAAACCCCCAACAAACTTCCCCAACCCCCAAATGGGTGGTTGTCAAAAATATGGTACCTAAAAATATTAGGTGCCGTACTATAATAGGGACCTTTGACAACCACCCACATGAACCCTGACCCCTTTGCCTCGAACATGAGCCTGAGAACCCCCGCAGAATCTGTACCGAAAACCCTCTATAAACCCTAGTTCGTAAACCTCAACAACTATGCAACAAACTGATTAAACGAAACTAACCCATACACCGTTTTTGGAAAAAAAATTATGAAAACTGTGACAAACACCCAAACAAAACGCCGCCGAACCCTAAACACCTAAAAACACCTATGAACCCCACAAGAGCAAACCATCCTGAAACTCTGGCTAAATCTTTAGGAAACCTCGTAAGATGCCCTCCTTCTGCTCCGCAGTGAGGCGCGGCGGGTCGGGCTCGCAAGGCGGCGGCAAGCGAGGCTCGACCCTCCGCAGTGGAGCAGCCTCTGACTTCTTGCAGGGATTTAGGGTCTAGAGTTTACGGTTTAGGGTTTTGAGGGTTCAGGTTTTTGGGTCCAAATGAGTAGGGGCTTTAGAAACGGATCTACACGGATGCTAGAAGAGCTCTATAACTGATTCGTAATTAAGGGGGCTCCAAACCTACACAGTGATTGTTCTAGTGGGGCTGGCTAAAGGCGCGGGGGTGGGTTTAGGGGACTTTTTGTTGGATCCATTACAAGATTTTCAACAAGGGTCTATAGGCTCGTTCGGAGTAGCCGGTGATCTTCTGAAACCCTCAGAAATGACATTGGTGCGTATTCCGGCCCTGTGATGCTGCAACTCTAAACCCTAAACCCTACATCCTGAACGAACCCCTTCAGCCCTGAGCCTTAAATCACCCTTGAAACCCTAAATGCTTGAACCTTTCACAAGACATGTAGAAAACCCCTAAACCCTAAACCCTAAACCCTAAACCCTAAACCCTAAACCCTAAACCCTAAACCCTAAACCCTAAACCCTAATAGAGCACTAAGACTTAAGGGCTCCAAAGCCCCAACCCCAAACACGAAGCCTTCAAGCCCTTAAAGGACCATGGGACGTAGTAACTATAGGGCTCCTTAAAGGGCCCCTTAAAAGGGATCTATAAGGGTTCTATAAGAGGGGTCTGAGGGTTACTTAAAGGACCATGGGACTTAGTAACCAGGGTTATAAGTAGGGTAACTATACTTCGAACTACTTATCACTCCTCAGAAACCCCGCAGAGCCCATGTATGTGGAACCTTGACAGGGCCTTTAGAGGACCCGAAGCCCTAAAACCTAAACCCTGGGCCCTTGCAGGACCTCCTGCAAAAGTAACAAAATCGAACGGCTTAGCCGAGCCTGGCGCACAAGGTACGGAGAGCCTTTCGCTTTCGGGGAGTTCTCCTGATCCACCCAAATAACGGAGTTTGGGGTTTGGGGTTTTTGAGGTTTTGGGGGTTCAAGACTTGGGATTGGGGATTTTTGACGGGTGTATACGGAACTTAGGGTGTGGGCTTCCCCGACGTTTCTGGATTGTTTCAGTGTGTGCTCAAAAGGTTCAGTTCCGGTTGTTACATTATGTGTCATGTATTCAAACCTTCGCATTAATTACTGCAGACACTGCTCCTTGAAGTGCAACTACTTCAAAAGCCTACGGGTTTAGGGTGCAGGGTTGAGGCTGTGCACGTAGGATTTGCGATACTGTAAGTGGTTAGCAGGGTTAGGTGCAGCGCTTAATTAGGCTTTATTGGGTTTGGGTTTCCTGGCATCATGGGGTTCCAGGTTTAGAGTTTATAGGGTGCTTTCTCGGCCTGCAAGCCCCAAGCCGTACAAGCTAAATGTTCCGCAAGCCGCACGGTTAAACCCTGGTGCCGGGCCCTGTATCTCTACACGCTACACTGCTACACCCCTGAGCCTAAACCCCGAACCCTCTGAATCCTGAATCCCAAACTCTACGCCCTAAATCTCTCAGCCTTCAGGACTAAACCCTAAGCCCTAAATCTCTCAACTTTGAAGACCAAACCCTAAACCGTAAATCTTCACCCTGACGATGTTAAGTCCTCTTCCAAAGAAGCGGGCGCAAAAGCCACCGGTGTGAAGCGGCCCATGGAGCGCTGCCTAAGTTTGTTGAAAGAAATGCCGCCTATGGGGGGTTTAGGTTTTAGGATTTGGGGTAACATGTTTAGGGTATAGGGAACAGGGCTTAAGGTTGAGAGAAGTCTACTACAGATCCTTCGGGTTCAAAGTTTCAAGTTTACGGAAAATTCAGGGGTTCAGGGTGATGCGTTGAACGGGATGGGCCCAAATCATTCGAATAGCGTCTGGGGGGATTGACAATACAGGGGTTATAAGGGAGGGGACGCTACTTGCTGTTGCTATTTATCCAGACCCCTAGGCTAGTTTTGGCTGAAAGAGACTGGATGCCGAAATAATTCAAAGGCTAAGGCGGGGGTTCGGGGTTTAGGTTTAGGGCTTCAGAGTTCGGACTTATGCAATGGGATTTGGGGTAGCGACCTTAAGATTCGGGGTTTACGGATAAGGATTTAGGGTTTGGGGTTCCGTCTTGCTCACAACAGAAGCCTCGGTGACAAGCCTAGGGTTTCCATCTTGGAGCTTTATTTACATTTTGCAGTGTCCACAGGATGGCTGACTCCAGTCAACGTGACAACATGGAGTACGGCTTTGACCTTGCAAACGAGCTCAATACCGCAGGCGTTCGTCTGCGAAGCTGATTACCCTCCTTTGGGCCTGAGCAGGCCATCGTTTTGTAAACAAGCTACTGTTTTCTTGCACGCATTTGAAGACGTATGCAAACGGCTTCAACTGGAAATTAAGATCGAGCGGCGTCAGACTCGACAATTTGTTGCATGTACATTGCCGGTGGCTTCAATGTGCATTGTGCCGAGGATATCGATATCCAGCAACCGCCACATGAGCTGTTTCATGAGGTGTTTAGTGGTGCGGATTACCCGCCATCACTCGGGCTATGATACTTGCGCCAGAACAGGCACTACATTGCCTGTTACTTTTGTGGTCTGGAACTGTTATACAGGGTTGACAAAAGCAGCTCGCAAACGGCGCAATGTTTGAGTTTGTAATTGATATTGTATGTCGCCCTGTTAAGCATCTTGGCGTGCTTCTCGCTTGGATGGTCCGCAGACGTCTTGCATAAAACCCTAAACCCCTGAACCCTTAAACCATCAAAGCCTTAAATCCTAAACCCCTGAAAACCACCAAAAGCCTAAAACCCGAAACTCTAAAACCCTGAACAGTAGCCAAAGTCTCTCGTACATGGGGGTGCAGAGTTTAGGGCTTAGGTATTCGGTAATGAAACCGCCACAAGTTCGAAGATGGTACCCTGCAACTTCCGTAACTCCAGGCGCTATATCCTCCTGTAAACGAAGTTCCCTACACCCTAAAGTCCCTAAACCCTGAACCTCTAACCCCTATTTCCTATACCGTAAACCCCAAACCCCCTAAGCCCCTTAACCTAAACACCCTAAACCCTAAACCCCTAAACCCTATATAAACCCTATATAAACCCTATATAAACCCTATATAAACCCTATATAAACCCTATATAAACCCTATATAAACCCTATATAAACCCTATATAAACCCTATATAAACCCTAAACCTGTAAACGAAGTTCCCTACTGCCCGAGTTGTTTCAGGCCGCAGGAAATCGGCCGGCAGAGATCTCAGTGCAGAGTCCCAGTCCTCCAAAGGCATGGTGCGACTTTAGTTTAGGGTTTAGGGTTTAAGCCCTCCGATTTCGGGCTTGTAAGTCAGGTCGGTCTGTGTCGAAGTTCAACAATGCGATCTGGGAGTTGAGGGTTTCGGGTCTACCTAAACCCCCAAAAGTAAGTAAAAGAATGGCCCAACATCTACAAAAGGCTATCATTCTAGAAACAGGTAGATATTCTAGAAACAGGCATGGGTCAGGAGCTGGAACCTTGGGTTGTTGTTTATGGCCCAGATTCTCTCGGGGCGCAAAAAGAAAGGGCCTTGGGTCCAGGTTTTGGGGTTCAAGCTGCAGGTGTCGGGTTTAGGGCATACACCCTAAACCCTAAACCCTCAACCCTAAACCGGAGTCACTATGGTATAAGAGCGAAACGTTGGACCTCAGAAACCCCAGACGTAAAACAAAGATCCAAACATCGTCACACACCCGCACACGCGCAGGCACAGCCAAGACTCGACCTGGAGTAGAGGGTCTCCTACGAGTATCGCCAAAAGCCATATACTCCTCAAAAACCACTACATACACTTACCCAAAACCTCTACTGCAAACCCCACTTCGCCTGACTCCCAAACCCCAAACCCCAAACACTCGAACGCGGAAATCCGACACTCTCAATCCGAACCCTGAGCCCTAAACCCTTAACAGAAACTCCTGATCTGGGCTTTCAAGTAACCAAGGAAAAACAGTGTCTACTTGTATTTCATGAATAATTGGCTACCTTTAAGTAACAGGTTCCAAAAAAGTATTAAAGTATGGAATACTGCAAAGCCCAGTGATCTTACCTTTGGTTAGTAGGGAATGGAAGAATGGTAGTAATAGTAGTTTTTTCATTTCCTACAAGCCAAAGCCCAGTGATCCTACGCCCTCCCAAGTAGACCCTAAACCCTAAACCCTATAGATCCCTTTAGGGAACCCCTTAGATACCTTTAAAGAACCCTAAGTACGCCGGAAACCGACCTGGTTCCCAAAGAGCTGGCGCAGCTCCAGGAGTACGCGCCGCTGCGTCAGGCTGTCGGCGATGCCCATGGAGGACAAGTCCTCTGCAAGTCATAACTTCATATAAAGGTCCGAATACTTAGAACAAGGTTTTGGGGTTTACTATGCTATATCTACAATCAGGAACACAAATGCTGGCATTATTGCTTAATACGGGGGCTCGAATAATTGGACAAGGCTTTGGGGTACATGATACTGCAAATGCAATAAGGAACCCCCGAAATTGTACTGGCACGCACTTATTCAGGCCCCTTTTTATCTGGATCTCTTGAGCCCAAAACCCGAAACCCATGAAGCCCTAGGACCCTAAATGAATCCTAAACCGTTTCTAGAAGGTTTGGGCATGGTGTTGAGGGCTTTAGGGCGAACTGCAGCGCCTCAGGGCATCTTTGCCTGCAGGGGTTCCGGGTTTAGGGTTGCTATGGATTTAGGGCTTGGGGCTGAGGCTTTTATGGGTTTTCTGGGTTAGGCTCGTCTGTACTGTAGGAACCTGATTAAGAAACCCTGGGCCCATAACCCCGAAATCCAAAATAGTAGGATTCATATCAGGAACCCGAATAAAGGCCCAAGGTTTCTTAAGCAGGTTCCTACATATTATTATAGCGCCCTTATATAGATCCCTTATAGTAACCCTTATAGACCCCCTTTTAAAGGAACCCTTTATTGATCTAAAGCTCGATTTTGTATGCTAAAAATGGGCGATGCCGCCTCCATGGTCAGGTCCACGGCCACCAAGCCATTCACCAGGTGATCCTCAAGGGCTTAGGGTTTGGGGGTTTTGGTGAGGGTTCCTTTAAGGGCTCCTTAAAGGGATCTATAGGGTTCCTTAAAGGGATCTATGGGGTTTAGGGTTTAGGGTCTACTTGGAGGATCATGCGACTTATATAGTAAGTAAGGTTATACGTACCTTAATTGGGGTTATAAGTAACTTTACGTATAGTTACCCTAATTATGACCCTAGTTACTAAGTCCCATGATCCTTTAAGTAGGGTTTGGGGGTTTGGGGTTTGGGGTTTAGGGTTTGGGGTTTAGGGTTCATAGGGTTTGGGGTTTAGGGTTTAGGGCTTGGGGTTTAGGGTTATGGGATGTCTGGAAACTTTCCCGCAGAGTCTATGCAGCTGCATTGCCCTAAATTTTAAATGTGACCTTAAAGAGCTCCAAGATAGGTGCTTTGGGATCGAAAACGCACTGTATGATCACGTGGGCCGTGGACCCTTAGGGTTTTCGTGCGCTGGAAATTGTGCAGGGATGTGCAGGCTCATGCAAGCTTTAGATCATCGCAGTCTCTTTCAAGCTTCCCACAATAGCCGAGCCCCTCAATGGGCCTCAACTGGTACGGCGGGTGAAAACTGCCATCTTTTGTTGCACGCATGAAGAAAGGCAAAGCCTAAACCCAAGCTAGCCCCGGACGGCACGAAAACAGTTGAGGCTGCAAATACAGGGAGTTACGATTCCCCTCTGGGTGTCCTCTCCGTACGGGTGATGTCCTGCTCGGGGTACCCCGAAAAGCACATTTAAACTCAGAAATCTGATGAAATTTAGGGTTTAGGGTTTAGGGTTTAGGGTTTGGGTTTAGGGTTTAGGGTTTAGGGACCCTTGTAGAACCCTCTGAGCCCCTGGATACAGCTAAAACCAAAGCGCAAAAACTCTCAACTAAAAAAGAAACACCCGAAAGTTGAGAACTACCCATGTATTTAGGGCTTGGGGCTTTTAGGTTCTAGGATCCATGTATTCATATAGAGATCCGGTCCTCAAAGGACCGAACGACCGCCTGAGGCAAGCCCCGTTGGTCCAACCACTTGCCAAGCTCTACCTGGCTTCGGAGTTTAGGGGTTTAGGGTTTAGAGTACAGGGTTTAGGGGTCTAGTTTTTAGAGTACAGGGTTTAGGGGGCTTAAGGCTGAGAACTCGCGCCGACTCTACAACCTTGGAAAGTTGCGGGTTCAGGGGCCCTTGATCTTTATGTTTGTTGCTGTTGTTCATGAGGAACCCAAACCCCACTTGGAGGATCATGGGACTTAGCAAGTAGGGTTATAAGTACCTTAATTGGGGTTATAAGTATAGTTACCTAGTTATAACCCTAGTTACTAAGTCCCATGATCCTTTAAGTAACCCTAACCCCCCCTCTTATAGAACCCTTATAGATCCCTTTAAAGGAGCCCTTTAAGGAAGCCTATAGTTACTAAGTCCCATGATCCTTTAAGCAGAACCTATTCCAAGCGAGATGGAAGGCCCTCGATGTTCGGGTGCACTAATTGGGACGCAGGTCTTCGACACCTTTCTGGCAGAGGAAATATTGCTTAAGTGACAGTTATGCTGTGAGATCTTGGGAGCCTTGCCTGTTGCTGTAGTACCACTAGTGACTATAAGGCTTTTATACTATAAGGAGTATATAGGATTATATATAGGGCCGTATCATATTCCTATTATACCACTATTACATACTATTACAGGGTGGGGGCAGCTTCCAGGCATGAAGTGCTCGCCTGATTCCTTGGCCATGGCACTGACACGACCCCAAACCCGACACCACGTCGTTGCACCGAAGAAGCCCACCGACTACTTACGCAGTCTTCCAGACCCCATGAGTGAGAAACACGCTACATTGTACAAACCGCAGCAATAGTCATCCAGCAGTGAGTGAGATCGCAGCCCCCTGGATTTCCTGTTCGTAGCAGCTGGCATCGTTTAGCGTATGGCCCAGCAGTTGAGCACCGTCCCAGGAATGATCTACCGGCTCTGTGACCCGCTTGCACAAGAGTTTGAACCACCCTTCGTCCATGCGGTGCCAGATCTCCCCCGGAGTCAGGCTGGAGCTCGTCGCCACGTTGCCGTCATCACCCCCGCAGATGCCACCTCTTGGAGGACGACATCTGGTGGCAGCCCTGTAAGGACGAAATGCATCGACAAAGATCATGTCGGTTTTTCGCTTCGTTGAACCCCGTAAGAGACATGGAGCCAGTCATGCCACCAGCAATCCTGGGATATCTCCCCAACGTGTGTACATCAGTGATAAAGTCCGCGCCCAAGCGCTGGAGCTTTGCTTCAATCACCTTTTCGATGGCTGGGACAGTCCAAATCCCTCAACCGCAAACTGCAATACTTCCAATAAGACCCTGTAAACCTATAGACCCTTAAAGAAACCGGCGCCAAACTCTTGTAGAACCCTCAGAGGAGCCTTCCAGAAACCTGTTTATGTAAACGATGGGACCCTTGAAGGAAAACAGGAAGCAAAAGGAACCCTTACAGGGAATGACAAATAACCCTGAACCCATCATCAGCCCCTTTAACTCAAAAGCCCTAACCATAAACCCTAGACCCAACACCCACAAGCCTAGACCTAAAACCTGCAACCCTGAACTCGAGGCCCTAAGCCCTCCACACCCTACATCCCAGACCTTACATCTGAAACCCTAAGCCCTAAACCAAAACCCGAAAACCCTCAGCCAAACACCCTAGACCGTAGAAAACCCCAAAAAACCAAAACCAGAGACCGCCACCCATCCCCCCCTCCCCCTTTAAACCCCAAACTCTACATTCGGAACCCCCCCCCCCAACCCGCCACTGCATTCTCTGCCGACCTCGCTCCAGCAAATAGGCTGTTCCGGCTCCCGACGCGAGCCCGCCATCGCCAGGATCGCGCTTTGAGGAGCTTCTGTGATGCATAAAAGGCGCTATAATCTACTTCTGTAGGGGTGTACTAGTATGTGGGATCTAACGGGGTTTACAAAGGGTCTACAAGGATTTGTAAGGGGTTGCGGTGTAGTGCTTTCGTTTTTGGTGTTTTTTCTGGGCTGCGGGATGGATTTAGGGCTTCGGGCTTTATGTTGTGGGGGGAATAATGAATTTGAGTGTTCATGACACCATCACAAATTCTAAACGAAAAACACTAATGATGATCGTCATCATACTAAGACTACAATGGAACCCCAAGGTACATTCCACGATTCATTACTCAGGCTTCTAGGCTTTTGGGTTTCAGGTCTAAGTATGAAGTGGAGCCAAAACGCTACCCCCGAGGTCGGGCCGTCAACTCACGCCCAAAGAATGGATTTCTCGAACCCTGAAGCCTCCGAACTCCCGAACCCAATGTCCCTACCGACGCCTTCCGGGACTCGGGACGACCTGTTAATGTTTAGAGTTTAGGGTTTAGGGGTGTTAGGGTTTATGGTGTGTCGTTTGGGGCTTAGAGTTTAGGGTGTAGGTTTAGGTGAATAGGGTCTAGGGTTTAGGAGAATCTTACGAAAAAAGAAACACTCAAGGGAACCTTTACGGCGCTACACCATAAGCTCTGAACCCTGTAGCCAACACCCCAAACTCGATACCCTAAGACTTTTACCCTAGAACCACTTCCATAAACCCTAGACCCTATAACCTATACCATAGACTCCAAACAAACCCTATAATCTATACCATAAGATCTGAACCCTGCACACTAGAAGCCCTATGCTTGCCTGCTCTCGCTGTGTCAGAAGCGACTCGGCGTTGTACTGCGCAATGGTGGCTTTCATGACCTTCGGTCACTGCTTTGGTTTAGGGCTTATTGCAAGGTTCTCGTCAGAACTCGTGTCAGGGTTCCTGTAAAGACTCCGTTCAGGGTTCCTGTGAGAGTTCCATTCAAGGGTCCTAGTGGTGTTCGTAAGTGAGCTTGGGTCGCAGCTTGGTGTCGGGTTTTGGAGTTTAGGGTTCAGGGGTTTAAGGTTTTGGGGATTAGGGCTTCAGCGCTTGGGATTGAGTTGAAACTCGGGGATTTCGGGTTTAGGAAGCAGGGCTTACGGCTTTTGGTTTTAGAGTTCGTCGTCGCGGGCTTGTGGGTTAGGCTCCAATATAGGGGTCTGAAAAATTACCTATACTATTTTGGGGGTTTCTTATAAACATAGTGGAACGGGCCCCAAAACCCTATTTTGATTATTAAGGCCCCTTTCGTAGGGGTCCTTATGAAGGGTCTCTCCATCTATTCTTAAGGCCTATAGTAGAAGTCTGCTTCGAAGTCAGGTCTTCTGGGGTGCAAGGACCCCCGAAATCAGGTTT